GATCAGTCAAACAAGCTTCTGGGCTCCTCCTGTATACTTTCCAACACTGGGATTTTAGGCCTGAACTCAGCTTTTTAGTGTGGGTGTTGGATATCCAAACCAGGTCCTGGGTCTTGTGCAGTGGGTGCTCTACCTGTGGAGCCTTCTCCCCGGATCTATGTGGAATTTTTATTTGCCTTTTCCAGGATGTTTTGAAAAACAAACAAAAACAAAAATAAATAATTTATTTGCTTACACACAAATTTAAAAGTTGATAAATAAAATTTCTACTGCAGTCCATAGAGTATTCCTATAAACATGTTCTTCCAGTTGAAAATACTTTTGACCATTACACTTGGCTGTAATTTTATGGCTGTAATTTCTCATTATTTTCCGTTTTGAGTAGGAAGAGACACTAGTCCTGTTGCTTTTTGAAGACTTTGCTCTTGCCATATATTCCTCCTTATTTGAGATACTTATCCATTGTCTGTAGAATAAAGCTTAAAATTCTAAGCTGACAGGTAAGATTAGACTCTCTGCCCCAGCATCCTTCAGGACTAGTTCTGTCACTCTGTGCTCTCTGAAGTCTTTTCCTGATACGCTAGACATGACCTAATCGTCCTCTTTTAACCTTTGTACTAAAGCTTACACTGTACATGCCTCAGTTCCTTTCAAGTTAATGGATTGTTGCTGTGTTCACCGTTAAGTTGTTATGTCATAACAACATATTCATACATTGAACTGAATACATGAAGCACCAGGTGTTCCAGATCTGAGAGAACAGCAGGGTCCTCATGGAGTTTATGTTCTAGTTTGAGAAACGAGAAGACACCTTAGTAAGTATATAGGTAGAACGTTTTCTATTTCCGGTGCTCTACGTGAGGACAGCACCATGGTGTGGTGGGAAGGCGGAGCAGAGGGCAGTGACTCGGTTAGCATGGAGAGGTATTTAACAGTGGAGGCTGTGAAGGAACCATCATAGTAAGATTTTGGAAGTAGATGTTTTCTAGGGACTGAACCAAGGGTCTTTTTCTTGGTAGGCAAGTGCTCGTCCACTGGCTGTACCCCCAGCCCTTTTTTGTACACATACATACATACATACTCATACACAGATATACACATAATCAAAAGTAATTTTTTCTGTTTTTGTTTTTTGAGACAGGATTTTTTTTGTGTGTAATTCTGACTATCCTGGAACTCTCTCTCTCTATAGACCAAGCTGGCCTTGATCTCACAGAGATCCATCTGCCTCCTGAGTCCTGGGATCAAAGGTGTGCACCATCACTGCCCAGCTTAAAATTGTTTTTTTTTTTAAACTGTTGAGAGAAAAGGCAGTACCTGGGTTGATACACTGTATGTATACACACGGCCTTGGTTTGTTCCCCAGTCCCTGCCCCCCAGTTAGTTGGTATTATATATAATATATAATGTTTGGCATTTTTGTAATACCACATGAATTATGTTATCTTCTGCAATATTCTAATCATCTTGGAAAGGTACCAGAAGTTCAGTTAACTAGCCTATTGTTAGCAATATGAGGTTAACATTTTAGTAATATAAAGAACACTGAATATTTTTTTACAATATAAATATTTTCCTTTATATTTATTTATTTGTCTCATTTTGGTTTTGGTGAAACAAGGATTGAACCTAGGCATAAGCACTACCATTGAACTATATCCCCTCCTTTTTATTTTTTAAAGTTTTTTTTTTTAATTTTACCTGCATGCATGTTTGTGTACCATGCGCATGACTGGTGCCTAACAGAGGCCAGGAAAGGGTGTTATATACCCTAGAATTATATCTCTTTATAGGTAAAAATCTGTTTTGTTTGAATTCTCCAGTAAAGAGACAACTGAAGTTACCAATAAAAGTAAGAATCAACTACAGCTGTCAAAAGGAGCACTGATTTAGCTCACTTCACCAAACTCAAATGCTTTTATTATATCCTTGTCAGTTCTTTAAATGTTCAGTCTTTTAAAAGACGTATTTGTGTGTGTGCGCACGCTTTGTAGGAATGAGTGCCCTCTGAGGCCAGAAGAGGGCATGAGACCACCCAGAGCTGGAGTTGTAGGCATTGTAAGCCTCCTTAAATGGGAACTGAACTTGGGTCTTCTGGAAAAGTATTCTTTAACAACTGAGCCATCTCTCTAGCCTCTAAACTGTGAGTCTTAAATCAGGTTTGATGAATACATGAAATTTAGAACATACAGTTGAAGACATTAATAATCCTATTAATCTTACTTGGTCTTTTTGGTTTTTTTTTTAAAGACATGGTTCTTTGTGTAGCTCTGGCCATCCTGGAACTAATACTCTGTAGATCAGGCTGTCCTTGAACTTGGAGATCTGCCTGCCTCTGCCTCCTGAATGTTGGGATTAAAGGTGTGTGCCACAATTGACTGGTTTGGTCATAATTCTTTTTAAGGTTCACGTTTTTCAAAGATAAAATTTGCATTCCTGTTTAATAACGCTTGCAAATTAAGCCATTTACTAAAAACAAACTGATAAAAATTTAAATTGAAAATCTTTCTGAAAAAAAGATTTTGAAACAGTCTCTATAAAATTTTAGTGTTACATTTTGAATAAAAGTTACCTTCATTAGTTTTTATTACTCCATGCACTTGTGTGAGAGTAGATGCACATGTGTACATAGGGGTCTCTGTGGGGCCAAGAAGAAGATGTCAGAGTCCTTGGAAAGTTGTTTCAAGTGTCTGAACTACCCATCAAGGGTCCAGCTCTCCTGATAGAGCAGCAAGTGATCCTAACCCTGAGCCATCTCCCTAGCCCAGAAATGCTGTCTTTAGTTCATTTTTTTTTAAAGATAAAATTCAGTCTTGAAGAAGCTGGCTTAAAGGCTTCTTCCTCTTCTTCTCCCTCTTCTCCCTCTTCTTCTTCCTCTTCTTCTTCCTCTTCTTCTTCCTCTTCTTCTTCTTCTTCCTCTTCCTCCTCCTCCTCCTCCTCCTCCTCCTCCTCCTCCTCTTCTTCTTCTTCTTCTTCTTCTTCATAATTGAGTCTTATTGAATAATCCAGTTGGCAGCATGGTGACTATAAAATGTCTTTGGACTTCTTATACTTGAACCACAGTCAAGGTTTATGAACATGTAATGGTCATAGCTTTCTTTGAAATTTAATTATTTGATGGGCTGTGTGTAAGGAGGCCTTGGGGTCATTCTTTAGCACCCCGTGCCACTGAATCACTGACTAATTTCAGTATTAGTACATGTAGTTAAAATTTAAACAAGTTTTGACTACCAATTCTTTTCTTAAAGTAATAGCTTAAGTAACTCATAGCCCAAGTCAGAAGTAACAGGCATAATTCTTCCATAGACTATTAAGAAGTTATTTTGAGGAGCTTTTAAAATGCATTCTTTATTTTGCAAGATAATTTTTCTTTCTGGAAGGCCGATCCTGTATGAGAAATTGTGAATTTGTCATAGACGATGACTGCATAATGAGTCCTACAGACTGAGTGATGCACTTCCAGTAAGAAGATCTTTAAAAAGTCTTTGTAAAGCCATGTCTTTCATGAAAGATGTTTAAAATATAGTCAAGTTGATTCACATTTCCTTTGTTCGGTGTGAGGCTCTCTTTCTAAATATGTTTAAGATTTTAGTATGTAATTCTAATTACAGTTATATTGTGGTCAGTGTGGAAGTCCTGACTTACATACAGCAAATATATACAGCATATTACTTATTTATAATAAGTATATAATAATAGAGGAAAAAAGACCCAAAGCACAAAAAGAAAATTAGAAATCCCTCCCATAATCTGACCTTCAAAAGAATATCCCTATTTTGTTGTGTGTTATTCCTTTTAAGATTTAATTTTTATTTTATTTGTGTATTTGTGTGTGGTTCTGTGCACACGAGTGCATTACCAGTTGATAGGCCAGGAGAGGGAGTCAGATTCCCCTAGAGCTGGAGTTGTAGACCCCAGGAGCAGGCAGGTGGGGTGCCAAAGCAGTGTGGTTCTTACCACCACACTCTCACTAGAAAATGATACTTAGTAGCTTCTTGTCATTCTATTTGAAAAAAAAAATGCAAGAAGTTATAGTAAATATACTTCATTTAGAACTCTAAATTTTAGTTTATTTTTTAAAACTTCAGTAGATAGGGGCTAGGAAAGGAATGTAGCTTCCTAGGTAGAGTGCTTGACTAGCCTATAAGAAGCCCTGAGTTTAGGATCTAACTCTGCATAAACCATGGGTGGTGGCATACACACACACACACACACACACCTTTAGTCACAACCTTTGTGGGGGCAGAAGTTCAAGGTCATCCTTGGCTCTCCTAAGTGCTATGCTAGCTTGGCATGCATGAGACCCTGTCTTAGAAATATTTGTTTGAAAAAAAATTCTTTGTTAAGACAAAGCTTAAATCAGACTTTTAAGCTAGAACTTAATGTGAATCTTGCCCTTCTAACGCATGAATCAGTAAATGAAATGTGGAGTATGCAGTAGGATCAGTAGTAATTAACAGCTTGCCCTGTATGCCTGGGAGTGCTTTAAATACACCCTGCAGATACTAACTCCTATTTTATGCTTGTTCTTGTTTTATAAAAGAAGGAATTTAATCACTGAGAGATCAGATGACTAGTTAGAAGGTGGGAGGAGCAAAAACATTTAGCCCAGGCTGGAACTCTGAATCACTGTGTTTTGTCATCATGGCTTTTCTGGTAACTGTCCTAAATACAGTCGTAATTAGAGTTAATCTACTGAACAAGTTAATGATTTATAATGTCAGATTATTCATTGTAAATCACTGACTAGAATTCTGTTTCTTTGCTGCATGTCAATCATGAGAATGAAATCTAATTTACTGCCCCTCCCACCGTCAGTATCCCGCATCCCATGCGGGGCTTTCCACCCTGTGGACCTCCTGGTTTTGAGTGTCAGCTAACCTCAAGCTCCCTGGGTTGCCAAGGGGTGTCCGGCTGGACAGTATGGTGCGGTGGGGTGGGTCTCTGCCCTGCTGTGAAGCAGGTCAGAAGCGTGAAGCAGCTGTGTAATCCGCTGGATGCTGACCAGGGCGCTCCCCATTCCAGTCAGGAGCCAGCGGATTGGCTGGGCGCAGACACACGTGACCGACATGTGGCTGTATTGGCGCAGCCTGCCGGGGTGTCACTGGAGACAGAATGGAGGTGCTGCCAGGCTCGAAAATGGGGTAGGTGCTGGAGCTGCGATGGCCCGGCTTGCTGCAGGGGAGAGGGAGGAGGTGGTTTTCTCATGGACTGCCTTAAACCGGTGACCTTTCCTTGGCACAGGGTCTACTGCCACATGCCAAGCCTAGGAGGCAGGGGCGTCGTCCCACTCCTCTCCCCCACCCCCCACTGCAGCACAGGAGATGGATTTCCTGTGCTTCTGATCCTGGGATTTTGACAGAAGAGGAAGAAAGGGGGAGGGGTAGAAGTGGTAAGGGGAGCCGGGAGAAAGCCGTTTTGTTTTTTATAATGCCTGTTGACAGTGGAGTGGAATAGCAGTATCTAAGGAAACGAGTAGAGGACAACAAAGAATGGAGCATATTCATGGCGAGGAGAGAAAGTCCTAGCCCTTTGAAAGGCTGCTTTTCCTCCTTGGCCACAAGGACACAGGCAGTGGTAGCCAAGAGTGGGCATACAAAGCTGCAGCTGATGGAAAGGGCTACCGAGGACGGGAGGAAAAAAAGACATGGAGTACTGCGGAGCCCAAGTGATCTTTTGCTTGACTGGCGAAATAACGTTCAGTAGTAGTAACGTGCCGCTTTTGTACAACATGTAGGTGAACTCGTTGAGAATAAGATGGCAGAGATACCCGTGTCTTTGTTAGCGGCAGGATGCAGTGTAGTGCTCTCCGTGGTGATGCAGCAGGCTTTGCTGTAGCCAACTGCAGAGAGTAAGCACCCTGCGCAGATGGAGTGCTCAGTCCATTTACAGGAGCCCAGCGCATAACTACACCCAGATAGCAGAAAATGCATAGTTTGCCTTTTTAAAGTAGGTGGAATATCAGATTATGAATGTTTTGACAGTGGAGGGTATCAAACACTTTGATTTTATATCACAAGAGATGTCAGATGCTTTGATTTAACATAAATCCTATAGGAAGTCTCAATACATTAGGTATGGAACTCGATCTTCCCCTTTGTTAGTCTAGCTCTTATGCCGTTAATTAAATCATTCGAGAGCAAATTACTTTAGAATGTAAATTACTTTGTGAAAATTTTCGGACAATACATTTTTTATAGGCCTGATACTTAAGACTTATATTTATTAAGTAAATTTCTCTTTCTCTTTTGTCACTTTTTAATATAGTTTAATAAAATCTACAGATAAATATTTTAGCTATATCTCTATTTAGTGAGTGTCCGCAAGATACAGTCTCAGTCTAAAGTGTTTTAATGACATTAGATGTCTGAAAGCGTTTGTCTCAGATGAGTCTTTGCCTTATTCCTGTGCATGTCTATGGCAACCCCCCGCACCTCCAGGCTCAGAGCTACACCAGCAGTGGCTTTATGAAGCCCTCCAGGATCAATGCTCCTCCAAGATAGTTCCTTTTAAATTGTTTATGTAGTTGTCTTAATAGAATTTCCAATTTTGTCTCAGTATTTTTCAAAATAATAATTATACCTGAGTAAATAATACTATGCAAGATTTTCAAACGAAAATTAACAGTTTTACTATTTTTTGTTTTGTTTTGCTGTTGTTGTTATTTTAAAACAAAGTCTCATTGTGTAGTCCAGGCTGGCTTCCAACTTACTTTGTACCTGAGTGGCTTCAAACTTAGGCTCCTCCTGCCTCAGCCTTCCAAGTGCTGGGGTTATAAGACTTTGCCAGTATGCCAGGCCTAACTTTATTCCTTAATATTTTTAATGTTTTAATTTTATGTGATTGTGGATGTCAGGATTAAAAGTGCTTGGGATAGCTTTTAAATCTGATGGAAACCATACCTGGGATTAAAGATGTCACATTGAACTGGCAGTGAAATTTAATAGCTAACATTATCCAATCCCTTGAATCTCAGTGTACTTCTTGAGTTTATGGAATTATCATTTTTACAGATGTATTCTCCTTTAATCACCTAGTGAATGTAGCATTATTCTCATTTTATGTATTTTACAGTTCTCCTATCCTAGTATGTGACTTTATCCAAGGTCATTGGGTCATCTACTGTGTAAGAATAAGAGCTTGTCTTTTATTTAACTTCTGTTTTGTTTTGTTTTTTGAGACAAGATTTCTCTGTAGCCCTAGCTGTCCTGGAACTTGCTCTGTAGACCAGGCTGGCCTCGAACTCACAGCAATCCACCTGCTTCTGCCTCCCCAGTGCTGGGACTAAAGATGTGCACCACCACTTATTGGCCAATTTTTAACTATAAGACTGCATTCTAAAAAATTTTATGGGGCTCGAGAGATGGCTCAGTGGTTAAGAGCATTCATTGCCTGCTCTTCCAAGGTCCTAAGTTCAATTCCCGGCAACCACATGGTGGCTCACAACCATCTGTAATGAGGTGCCCTCTTCTGACCTGTAGAATATTCTATACATAATTAATTAATAAATAGATAGATAAATAAATATTTTAAAAAATAAATAAAAGATTTGATAACTTAAAATTGCATGTATATATTTACTCTCTCTCTCTCTGTGTGTGTGTGTGTGTGTTTGCATGCATGTTGCCAGGAAGCTTATGTAGAGGTCACATGACAGCTTATTGGACTTGGTTCTCTCCTCCCTTCATGGGAGTTCCAAGGATCAAACTCAGTCTGTTAGGCTTGATGCCAAGTACCTTTACCCACTGAACAATCTTGGCAGGCCCAGTAATTAGTATATATTTTTATCAATCTTATAAACATTTCTACAATATTAGATTACAGTATTTTTTCAAGTTAAATGAGAAATAAGGCTAAATTAAGAAAAGATCTCCCTTTAGTTATAATAGTCTATATTTCACTGAGCTTTTGTAAAAGGGTCTTTAAAATTGTTTATTGCTGTTATAGCTAGAATTATGTGATCTACTTAGAAATTCATAAATTAAATATTCAGAAGTGTATTTTGTGAACTAAAAGCTATTCATGATTTTGTTTGGATGAATTACAGTGTGAATTTATGTTTTACTGTTTTTCTCTTACACTGATTTCACACACAGTAACTGGTACTACTCTTCCACGTTCAAACACTTCCCAGTGCCACTCTCCCATTGGACGGACGAGGCCAAGCGAAAGCTGTCCGCATAGGTGCCAGAAATGTGATAGCATTTGGTTTGGAAAGATGAGTAACACTTGAGGAAATCTACTCAGTACATATTTGTTAGAGTACCAGCCACATGCCAAACGTCAGAACCAAATAAAACCTGGGAACTAACCTTCATGAGACTTATAATAAACTGTGAAATCTGAACACTGAGTTGAATACTGATTGCTTTGGCTAGTCCTGGGCACCTTTTTAAAGGTTTGTATAATCTGAAATATTTTCTGATTTGCAGGGAAGGAATGGATTGTTCTTTGAAGTACTGTACCCTTGTTTAAGACCTGACATCACAGATTGTTTTTGAATATCGTCAAGGTTGAGTGGAATGGTTTCTATATCATTTAGTCCTGGCTGCCAGCTATATATTTAGTTTTGTTTTTAGACAAGGAAGGACTCCCCCATTGTTGATAAGATGATGTGTTATGTGGAAGGAGCTTTGTCCTTTATTTTCACCTTCTATTTTTCCTTCAAAGTGCATGTCTTGTTTTTACATTGCTGGAGGTTGAACTCCACAGCCTTCAAGCTACATGACCCTCTGCCATTGGACCATAAGCATTTTTAAGTGTACAGTTCTATGGCATTAATTACATTGTACATCCCTAACCACGGTCATCTCCAGAACTTTTTCATCTTCCGTTGTGGAAACTTTGAGACCATAAAAGCCCCAATTATCTTTCCCTTGACACTTAGCAACCAGAACACTACTTTATTACCTCTATGAATTTGCCTGTTGTAGGAATTTCATATAGAAAGATTCATATATTTACCCTTTTGTGACTAGCTGGCTTAGTTCACTTATCATAGTGTCTTCATGAATCATTTAAGCTTGCCCCCATGTATTTTAGTTTCTTTCCTTTTGAAGACTGAGTAATTCCATTCCATACCCACTACATTTTGTTTATCTATCTGCCTCTCAGAGTACGCTTCCATTTTGTCATGAGTAAAGCTGTGATCATGTATGTGCTGAGAACTCTTGTCTCTGCTTTCACTTTCTTTGTGTGCTGACAAATGTTTTAACTCTTAAAATGCTGTCTGTTTTACTTCCTGTCCTTTGAATTTGTGGTGCTGACATCACTGTTTAGCACCCCATAATGTTCATTGTTACTCTAGTGGAGGTTATAGGTTTCTCTTTTCTGGATTCTGTTTACCACAGACTGCAACGATTCATATTTGCTATGACTGCTCACTGGTTATCCTAGTTGTGTGTTACTGCACAACAGATCACACCAAGACTTAATGGCTTGAAACAACATTGTGGCTTAAATTATAAACATTTATTGTTTCAGAGTTTCCATGAGGCAGGAATTCAAGAGCATCTTGTTTGTGAGAAAACTGTTTTCTCAGGAAGCTGCAGTTAAGATTTGGTTATCTTTCTTTTTTAAAGATTTATTTGTTTATTATGTATACAGTATTCTGTCTGTTTGTATGCTTGCTGGTCAGAAGAGGGCACCAGATATCATTACAGATGGTTGGGAGCCACTATGTAGTTGCTGGGAATTGAACTCAGGACCTCTGGAAGAGCAGTCAGTGCTCTTAACCAGGGAGCCATCTCTCCAGCCCCAAGATTTGGTTATCTTGACAGTCATCAGGCCTTGACTAGAACTGAGGCTACTTCCAAGATGACTCGTTCACATATCCTCTGTTTCCCAGTGGCTACTGACCAATAGTCTCAGTTGCTTATTTTGTGGGGAAGAGGCAAGAAAGGAAGCATTTATGGCCTGGTCTCAGAACCTGCACACCATTTCTGTTGTCTTACGGAGTCGTACTTTCTTGTCCTGCCAGCCTGCAAAAAGTGACTTGGAGACTTATTGTTAATTATGAAAGCTTGACCTTAGCTTAGGCTTGTTCCCAGCTAGCTCTCATAACTTAATCTGTTTTTATTCATCTATGTTATATGTTATATGTGACATGGTTACCTCCTCTGTACTGCATGTCCAACTTGTTCTG